ATATATATATATATATATATATATATATATATATATATATATATATATAAATAAATAAGTAATTAACCCTAGGAAATTTTAGTGACATTTTTTAATTTCTTTTTGTATTTACAAATACCACCTCTATATAATTTTTAATTGTTAAATACCCTTTCAAAAATATTAAAAACACTCACTCATACTCGATGTGTAATACTTTTCGAAGCTCACCGCATCTATTATCATTTTAATGGTTGACCAAAGGTAAAACGACAAGTATACCCATAAGTGAAATAACATAAAATTATAATAATGTAAGAGGCCAAATTGAAATTTTGTTAAACTTCTAAAATTTAGATTAGGGGACTAAATTGCAATTTTCAAAAACCCATCTCCCAACTTTCTGCAATTTCGCCCAACCGCAGTCCAATTTCATTCACCGCCGCCCACCACGCACCACCACATCCATCAATTGTTTGGGCTTCTTTAAACTCCGACTTTTTTTATGGCAGCGTAGAAGCTCACGGCTTGATCGATTTTGTCAATTATGAGAAAGGATTTTCATCTTATTGCGGCGGTAGCGGTAATTGTTGGTGGGTACAGTTTTTGAAATGGGTGGGTTATGTTGGGAAAATGAAGAATGAAGAAAGAAAAGGCTGGAAAATGGTTTGGGGACATTTTTTGACATTTCACACAACTGAAAATTGAGAAGAAATTGCAGTAAGAGCGCTCCCAAGGTCTCAATGCCTTGACTTTGTTTACAAAGGGGGTATAAGTAATTTTTTTTTTGACAGGGGGTATTTGGCATTTAAAGATATTACTAGTGTGGTATTCGCAATTAACTCCAGCTAAGTTCACTTTTTAATTTTATTTTTGCTTACTCCTTTCTTCTCTCTCCAACAAAAAATTGAGATACATTACTAGTTTAGTATATATACAACTGTGAACCACAAATTTTCGAGTCTACAAAATATAATAAAAGTACAAGACAGGAAAATAGGGACAAATAATTTATTGTAGCACCCCCCTTCTAGACGGGCGATAAATCGAACCGGTTTATCGGAATATTTGTTAAACCAGCGGAAGCAAAGGATCTCTTTGTAATTTTTGAAACATTGGAATGGGGTGAAAATGCAATTATCAAACTTTGTTCTTTTGGGTATTGAAGGCTTTGCATTTTCGAAAACTTTGTTGGATTGCTTTAGCCGAATACAAAGCTTGATTTGGGAATAAGTTTCGAAAGGAGGTTTCTCATTCGAGTGCTACATTCTCACTAAACATTTTTCGGTTCGAGAATAAATCAGAGTTCGGAAAGGTTATTTTGGTGAATAATTCGAAGTTTTCTAACGAAGGCATGAGAATAGCAAATTACGAAACTTACTATATTAAAGTAGGAATTAAGTACGATTCATAACGAAAATGAGTTCAAAAGTACAAAAAGAGAAATGTTACGGTTTAGGGTTACACCACCAAAAGAAAATAACCAAAAGTCTAGCAGCGTTCATAGGTCCTCGTACGCCTTCCAAAATCCCGGGCAAGACCTCGATCCACTACCCGATCCATCCCGGTTGAGGATTACTACTACCTGCAATTAAAAGACATCTATATGAGCTATAAAGCTCAGTAAGAAATCCGAGTATTATCAAACTTTGGAAATACGTTATATATAATATATAATATTGTATACCCGTTCTTACCCACGTTTCGTACAACAACACAAGGCAATCGGTCAAAGCACATACCTCACGAAAATACATCATTCAACAAAATCACGTAATCATACAAAATGACTAAAATGCCCTTTTTTGTGAAAATCATGAAAAACACATTTTTCGGTTTATCGGATCCGTGAAAGATTAATTTATGTACCGAATAATAAACCTGTTACGAGCCCGTTTTCACTAAGTGGAATCAAACCACTACACACATCATCCTAGTTGGATACCGGCCCACTATATCCGAGTTGTTTATTACCCGATATTCTATTAATCTTTCAAATAAAATCATTTAATGCAACTTTTCGAAATTATGCTTATGACCCACACATAACATCACAAATATCAATCAAGTGCCACAAAGTCACACAAATATCACAATTTACCACATAATAATAATTTGGGCAAAAATCCCCAAATTCACACATATAAACACACCACCACACACGGCACACACCACATGCACATTCAGCACACACACTCACACATATTCAGCACACACACATGTACAATCAACACATTAAACATCACTAATTACTCATCAAATAAACTTAGGAACAAATTCCCTTTTTCAATTCTCATTAAATGAACTTATTACCACTTCTAGGTAATAATCCATTTCAATCAATTCCTCACAGCCATTAAACACATCCAGCAGCAAATCCAAGTATAAAAATACCAAAACTCATCATTCATAACCATTAAATCAAAACATGAACACTTAAGGCACAAAACATATGTAAATGACATGCATTTATCCTAATTTCGAAATATTAGCAAACTAATTCCAAAAATTCTCAAATTAAATCCTAGAACTCCTACTGACTCAAATTCCAGATTCTGAAATTATTTTAAAGTTTTACAAAGTTTCGAATTTTCTTGAAATTAAAACTAGGAAAATCCCTTTTTCACTTTTAAAAATCCAAAACTCTAATATAACTCTAATTGATTTAAAAACTTGTTAAATAAAACTTTTTCCTATTTAATACTTGCTGAAAAACAGATCCAAACTTTAAAAAAATTGAAAGATTTTTCGAAAATTGCAGTTTTGTCCCAAAAGTTTCGAAATTTACACGTGCAACCACACTAGAAGTTCAAAATCAACTTTTTCATGAAAACCCCTAACAATTCTGAAATTCCACTTTACTAGATGCAGAAAATGAAGTTGAAAAGTTACTTTATGCAGAAGTTTCGGAAATTACATATTTTACCCCAAAATCTCTAGATCTACACATGCAAGCCTACTAGAATTTTCAAATCAACTTTTTCTTACAAAAATTCTTTAAATCCGAAATTTTAGTTCAATAAATGCTGGAAAACAGTTTTGAAAACATTTTTCGGACAGACTTTACAAAAATTACAGATTTGGCCCAAACTTTCGAAGATCTACACATGCAACCACAAAAAGTTAAAAATTCATTTTTTTTTCTTGAAAATCCCTTTTTGAAATCTGAAATTTTTAAGGCTTTTGGCCAATAAATGCTGTATCTAACCACTATCAACATAGATGATGCATGCAAGAACAAGAATTTAACAAGAACACTCATTTTTCCATTTTTCTTCAAAAAGCCCTAAATTTTCGAAATCTTCCCCAATCTTTTAAAATTTCATGAAAATCCTTTCAATACTATTGATGTCCCTTAATTGCAGCAAGAAATCGAATTTCTTACCTTAAAAATCGAAGAAAGAAAATAGCTGAAAGGGAGGGGGCTTTCAAGCACCGAAGTCCAACCAAGCCACCTTGATTGTGAAGGAAATGGTGTGAGCTTCAAGGAGGGAGGAGTTGTGATCTCCCGTAAGGAGGCAAATGGTTTTGATGGTATTTTTGGAGTAGTCTATG